TAGAAATATTATCGAAAAATAAAATAATTAATTATTCAAAATATTTATATTGACAAAGACGAAACAGTTACACAAACAAGAAAAATAAAAGGTTTATAACGATCATCGTAAGATGATGCCTTAGAAATGCTTCAATTTGAACATATTAAAAAATTCTTGTCGATAAGTTTTCGATGAAAGTATATAGATAAATAATGTTAAAAAATAGATATTTTGTTGCCAAAGACTAAAAATAATTCGTAATTGATTCACAAATACTGTATTCATTGATGGAATAAATGTTACTAATGTATAACCAACGCCTGCAGGTGTAGAAAAGATAAGATATGCACTCACTTGTAGAATTAACATTCGAGCTAATTGATTTTCTATACGACGATAACGACGACGATTTTGCTGTTTGGGATTTATAGCGAACGGATTGATACGATGTATTTGATTTCGAATATTACGTATTATTAAGAAACCAAATATAGCCATAGCGAATGGTATAATAATATAAGAAAAAATGATTCGACTTGAGAGATAAATAATAGCAATTGTTGATGAATATGAAATACATTGATTCATATTAGAATTAAAATAATAGATAAGAAGAATTGGAGATATATAGATAACAGTCAATATGATAGTAATAATTATAATTCGTCGTGCAATATGTACTTGACTCAAATTGCGCATTCTTACTGTTGATGAACTAACAAAAAATCGATCAATTGAAGCAAATACTAGCATAATTGAAATAAATAATGGCATTATATTTATCATAAATGTTTGTAATCGACATCCAACTGATGATGATGTGACAATATAGCCATAACGAATACGAATAAACATCATTACAGGTATTTCGCATGTATATAATATACTTGATAAAGCAAAAGCAAGAAAATATTGTGTACTGGAAGATAATCGAAGATTTCGACGACAAAGTACACAAATATTTAGTATATTTGTTGTAATCGTCAATATAATAGTGATTGGGTAAACATAGATGGATATTTTATTAATTTCAACTTGTAAATTATATTGAGTAGATGGTGACGTTGTATTCATTACTTCAGTTTTATTAGAATGGTACTGGAACATAGTTGCAATATATAGTTAATTCAAAAAAAAGAAAATAAAAGATCTGACTAAAAGAAGGAATAAAATGACTTTTAATAAATAATAAGGTGAAAGTACGTATCATTAATATTCTTCGCATTTCGATATAATCTATTTAAAATAGAATAGAATAGAATATTAATTGCATCCTTTTTTTTCTAAATAAACTTTTTATTGAATGTCCTCAGAGAACATTAGACTATTTCTTACAGATAGTATGATGTACAGAAATCACGAGCATCAGTTCGTTTTTCATAGAAAAACCATCGTTTCTCTTCTTTGCTATAGAGTAAAATAATGAAGTCTGCAGACCTAAAAATGTCTCAATATATTTTACATGATATTAATTGCTTACACGACAAACAGATAGAGTAATAATGGATATGTATAATTTAATTAACTAATATAAGAAATGTATTATCTTGTTTTAGGAAAAACTTTGTGAACGTTCAGATTGTCTGTTGTAGTTTATTGCGTATAAAAGAATTCTCTGTTAAACAAGTAGATCAAAAATGAATAGAATAATCTATGAGAAAATTTCTAAAGAATATCTTTTAGACTTATATATAGAATAAAAAATCTTACAATTTTAAGAAGTTCCATTAAAAAAATGTAGAAGTTTCAATTCAATTTACCTTTCCCAAAACAAGAAAAAATTTGTTTCTCTGATAATTTTTTGAGGAATTCTATCAAATAATATTGTGTAATAAAATGTCATAATAACTGGTTCGCTTGTCGATGTATATCAATGATATATAATCATTAAGAAATATCAGAGAACATGAACGAATTTGAGCGTACCAGTGTGGAGCAAGAAAAGCAACACTGACATCAATATTCTCAGTCACACACATACATCCACCGATCAAATAATTTATTTAGACCCAATTTTAATAATTTTTCTCTTTATATAAATAATAAATCCCCGATTATATCGACTGCTACTTCGTAGTGACTAATAAATTTTCTAGTTGATCGTTACTACGACGTTAAACAGAATATAATATAGTTATGTACAGGATTTTATACATTAGAAGTAATTATATTTATGGACAACGTATTATAAAACTGATTGTATAGTACTATTTCGTGCATTCTGATTCATTTGTTTTATATCGTTATTAACAACTGAGGATGCGAGTGTGATGGATGTGGCTATAGATAAAGAAACACCCACATTCTCTCTTTTTATCATGCAATAGATATTAGTGAATTAATAAACAGAAGCAGAACAAATTAATAATTCGTTGATAATTAGAAAAAACTAAATTTATACTCTAATTATTACCATTGATTATCAAACATCGATGCTTCACAAAACAAACACGAAATGGATTATTTCTATTTCTGCTGCATCTAATAATTCAACAAACATTCTCAAGAAAAGAATACAATGATCTGATGTTAAACTTTAATATTAATAAATAATAATGAACATTTTACAGTTACAACATTAAAATAACGTTTTTTAACGAATAGACATCGGTATCTGATACTATTCAAGTTTCTGGCATAATTTGATTGATTACCATTCTTCTTGGTTGCCATCGATTGTGATATATCTCAAATGATACATATATCAATTGTCGACGAAATCGATTCGACACACATACATAGATGTAAAATGGACTCTAAAAATAGAAAAAGAATTTTTTCTGATTCTATATATTTAATTTAAACACACTCACTGCAAAATATATATAAACAAGAAACATGGCCACAAGATTAGCAAATTGTATTTGTGCTGCTACGACAGGATCTTGAGTAAGTCCTGGTATTACCAATAAAATGCTTACAATAATATATGGCACATTAGTAAAGAAAGCAAAAACAATGAGAACTAAAATCATTACTGTCAATTGTTTATCTAATTCACGACGCACCAGTGGAACTGTCTGATAACTTAATTGTTGTACATTATGATAAGCCAAAAGTCCAAACACAAATGTAATGCATATAGGAATAACTTTTCCAATAATTAGAGCAGTACTATAGATATTATATTGTTGAAAAATAGTATTTGTATATGTGCATGTAACTTTGCCTGTTGATATCGATATAACATGATCATAATAGATTAGATAAGGAATATTATGAATAATCCAAATGAAAACAAATAGTAATACCAAACGACGTGCTATTTTCATATTACACAATTGTCGCCATCGTGCACGAGAAGAGGTGGCTAAATATTGATCAATTATTGCCAGACAAATACAAGTCATTGATGTTAATGCACACATATAGAAACAATAAGTTCGTAACTTGCAATACGATAAAGATGTTAGTGTCCAATCAATACCAAAACCACTAGTCATAATACGAGAAAGTAAACCTGTAAGCATTTGGCCTATATTGAAAATGGACATAATAGTTAAATAAAATGCAGCAGAACTTTCTCGAAAAGTTCTCAGACTAAGAAAAACAATGATATTGAGTAATCCACCAATAACACCAGCAATAAGAATAGATATACCCAAATAAATAGTTATTTGTTTACCAACTAATGCAAGTAATGAAATAATTGATGATGACATACTATTGTTAACTTTTACTGTCCTCGATGTAAAATTTTTCATAAAATGGGCTTAGAGCTTTTGTATATATCTATCTCTATATATATATGTAATTATCATGCATTCCATTATATTATCAAAGAACGACAATATCTTTAGCACGCACAACCAATTATCTGTATATACTTGATTGAGCAGTCATTCTGTTTATCATTTCCAGCGAAAGGAAAGCCTTTTGAAAAATGAAAGAAAAGAATAAATTTGCATGTTATATGCATCAATTAAATTCATTTCTATCACAACATACTTATCAATTAAATAATGTAAATATATCATGTAGTTTCATGTTACTGATCGTTAATGACGTCTTTTTTTCATTTATATAATACCGTATAGCATATTTGGATCAAAAAAACACTGATGCAAAACTAAAATAATCACACTACATAAACTTTATACTACCAATGAAGTGCAAAAAAAAATGCTATAGCATACTAAGGTTAAAATCAATCCATCGATATTAGAATAGATGTTAGAAACAGATTCAGTTTTAAGAAAAATATGTGAAAATTTGAAGGTGTGGAGTTCATTGAAGAAGGGACACCCAAATCCACTCTGGTTTTTTTATGACATTTACACAAAATCAAACATCATTTAGTAGGAGTCAGCGATGTCATCATTTATTTCGCAACTGCTATTAAAATATATATATTATGAAACATTGCGCTAGTTTCACACAATGATAAGAGTCATAACACATACAAGAATGATGTAACTATTCTTTATAAAACTTATCACACCACACTCATCTCTTCTAATATATACAGGTAAAAAAGAACCACCACTTACAGTTTTTTTCTTTTCAGATAATAGTTAACAGAATAAGACTGTATCATATGGCGTCGACGACATCGGATATGTTAGTTTCAATTTTCTTTTCTCATATAATATATTTTAGCATATTAATTCATAAAGATTTAAATCAACATTTGCTGGCTTATCTAACTGAAGAGAGTAAAACGTTTTTGTAGTATCAAATTATATTTCATGTCCTTCTTAACATTCATCGAGCGTCAATAGATAGAAAGAATATATTATCGCAACTTGTCGTCTAGATATGGTATTTAATCTCGTCGAATAAATAAGATTGATACACTTACATTCTATGAATGAAAGCTAATTGTTTGAAATATTGTGCTATTTTAGATTACTAAAACGCACAATAAAATGGTCGAAGAAATTAGAAAATATGATAATATTAGCACATTTTTGAATGATTGTGGGTCTCTACTGATGCAAAACGAATGTGAAAACAATGTAATTCTAGGAATATGCAGTTCTTTTCTTAATAAATCTATTGATCCTGAAAAATTGATTATGATTGCAGCTATTGAAAAAAGTGGTAATATCATTTCGTGTGCAATTACAACGCCTAATAAAACGAACTTAGCAGCATTTACAACACAATTTGATGTTGCTGTTAAACCACTTGTAAGTTATTTCAATCGTAATCAAATACATCTAAAAGGGGTAAATGGTAAAATTGCTCTGGTTAATAGTTTTATGGAAATTTATCAAAAGCCTATTACTGCATCAACAACTCTTCTTTTACATACTATAGAAACCCTACAGAATATTGAACTAGTTCAACACAGCATACTCACATTAGCAACTACACAAGATTTACCTATTCTTACAGTGTGGCTTAAAAATTTTCAGATAGATGCTGGTCTACTTCCTTTAAAACCTGACGAAGAAATACAAGCCGTAACAGAAGATAAGATTACAAAGAAGACTCTTTACAAATTGGTTCTTAACGGAGATCAACAACCCGTTAGCATGCTGGCTATAGTAAGAGAAACAGAAAAGTTTGCTGTAATTAGTTGGGTATATACGCCACCAGATTCAAGAAGTAAAGGATTTGCAACTACTGCTGTTTATAAACTAACAGAACTAATACATAATACCTATCGAAAACAATGCATCCTTTTTACTGATAAATCAAATCCTGTTTCAAACAAGATGTATCAAAATATTGGATACCGACCAATAGCAGAATATCTAGAGATTGACTTTTAAACGGTTCGATTTCCAAAACTACTCCATACGCACGAATTTTTCTTCGTGCATTCATACTGTGATTGACATTTTGCTCATACTCTATCAGTAAATAGTTGAAGTATACATCTATCTTTTATTTTTGCGAAAGTAAATGTAAAATGTTTTTTTTGACAATGAAAATCCAATACTGTTTTTATTAAGGCGGCTGACTGCACGTATGTGCAGCAGACGACTTATTGCTTTTGATATTCTTCTTCTTCTTCTTCTTCTTCTTGTTCTCGACAGATGAGTAACGATTCAATTCTGCCACTCGTTCTTAGTACCTAAGCAACATTTTCAACCGAAAAAAAGCTTGTCAGATTCGTGAGAACGTGCTGAGTGCACATCTGAAAACCGTTTTTTAAAATTCGGCTCCGTGCGGAAGATACATAGTTTTAAAAAAACCATTAATTAACACATGATGATTTCCTTATATGGTTATGTATGACTCAGTATTATAGGACTATTGACATATGAGAAACTATATGCATATACATTTTAATTATCGTTTTTTGTGAGTTAGATCCATCATGATAGAGTATAGTCTATGAAAAGTAATTATTCAATGGCTTGCTTATCTGAGTTTAATCAATCGATTTTGAGAACAAAAAATAAAATAGAATTTTAGATGGTTCAACTTTCCGCGTTTATGAGGGTGGTTACACTTCTGCAGTCAGCCGCCTTTCTCCTACTTGAACTTGCTTCAAGTAGAGCTCTAGTCTTCTTCTTCTTCTCGACAGATGAGTCACGATTCAAGTCTGCCACTCGTTCTTAGCACCTAAGCAACATTTTTAATCGGAAAAAAGATTGCCATATTCGTGAGAACGTGCCGAGTACACGTCTGAAATCCGTATTTGGAAATTCGGTTCCGTGCGGGAGATACATAATTTCAAAAAAAAAGTAATTAACAGATGGTGAGTGCCTTATATGGTTATCTATGACTCAGTATTATGCAACCATTGATATTTGAGATACTGTATGCATATACATTTTAATTATCGTTTTTTTGTGACTAAAGTCCATCATGATAGAGTCTAATCTATGAAAAGTAATTATTAGATGGTCTGCTGATCTGAGTTTAATTAATTGATTTTAAGAATAAAATAAACAAAATTTTAAATAGTTCAGATTTCGGTGTTTATTAGGGTTGTTACACTTCTGCAGTCAACCGCCTTTCTTCTACTTGAACTTGCTTCAAGTGGAGGTCTAGTCTGTTACTGTTTTTTTAATTAAACAGAAGAAAATATAGTAGTGATAAATAAATGAAGAGCGGATGTCGATGTGAAGGTATGACAATAACGTACATTCTACATCCAAACCCACACCCTAGTTTTTCAAGTGCCATCTTTAATTTAACGCTGTTTTTGCTACGATATGAATTAGACGAGAAGAAAAAGTTTCAACACTTTTTTTTCTCTGATTATAAAAGAGACGAAGAAAAAATGCTAATGGAATATTTTTGCGTTCTGCACGCGACGCTGCTATACAACAAGTCGCTGTTGAAAATAATTTTATTTTTGTTTTTTTTCCCTTCACCTTATCGCTTACAAGCAGCACAAAAAAACCCAGTAGTTATCGTCAGTCTCTTCGTTGAATTCTATTATTTTGCAGTTGTCACAACAAAAAATATAACCATCATGAATCGCAACAATCGTTTTTCGAATAACCGAAAGAACCAACGACCATCAAAAAATGAGCCGATGAAAACGGTTGCTGCTGTGCCAGAAAATTTCACGTATGTTGATCAAGATTTTCCATCACTATTTGCAGCATCGACAGTTGCAACCAAAGTTGATCCAAAATTGTCAACGGAAGTAAATATACATCATTCATTATCGGACTGCTTTATTCTTTTACTTTTCAAGGATAAATCAGTCAAGACAACTAGTCGCGAACCATCGATGACTCGGCCACGTAATAGATATTTTTTTTTCTTTAGATTTTAACTCACTTAATTTTCTTTAGTCGAAAATGTAAAACCTGAACCAACAATCGCGATTAAGAAACAACATAGTCCTTGGAAAAAACCATCAGAATCATTGCAACCTGTATCTTTATTAGCTTTTATGCCTCAATCGGTAACAAAACAAGATCTTACGACCAACCATCATTCAATTACACGTAAGCCATATTTTTACTTTAACTAACTACATTATAAATAAAAAATTTTAACTTTCTGTTCATAGATAATCCTGTCGCTCAATCTGAAACTCGATCTATGACAACTTATGAAGATGAAATCGATACTAAATTATGTGAAATTATTTTGACTATTCATCAACTACATGAATATGTCTCACTTGAACGTGTTGAGAAAGAACTCTTTGAACATTACAAAGTTAATTCATTTCGAGAGTTACGTGTCAATCCACGTCATTTGAAAACATTAACAAATCTTAGTCATCGCGTTAAAGATGTCACCTTTTATATGCAAATATTTGAACAAATTTTCAATTTATGTACTTTACATGATCTTGATCCATTACTAGCTAAATTTCTTAAATTTGATACATATGAAGAGGCTCATTTAGGACCGTTAGATAAGAATCCTGATGTACAACGAGTATTTCAATATAAACCACGCAAACGTCGTCAATCCATTCCAGACATAACTAGTGGACAAATAATAGATGCTTTTATTGCTTTTAAAGACAAACATCGACGTCATGAACGATACGATTATAATGGATTTATTGCTGAGCTTCTTCAACAAAACCAGTTACATAAGAAGGAAGAACTTGGTATTTATTGTAAATCATTTCCATATTTATCTGAAGTATGTATATATATATATATCAAAATCAGATACATTGAATCATGTTTCCATTAATGGTCTTTAGATATCAGGCAAAGTAACTCAGGATTACAAAAAATATACGAAACGAGTTGAGACAGATGCTCAAAAACAAATTATTAGAACAGTCGAAACTCGGTTGTGGGAAATTCAACGTGAAGTATCTAGTGAACTCAATCTATCAGCATATATAGATAAATTACCTATTGCTGTTTTTGATCATCTTGTTTCAATCGTTGACAAACATTTAACTGTAACTCAACAAAAACTTGTTCGTGATACATTGATGGACATTCGCGACAATGAGCTTTTACGATGCTTATTAAATATTAGTATCTATTTGGGTACAATTGATCAGCCTGAAGAGTTCATTGCTGAATTGAAAAAACTTAATCAACACCAGAAGAAAGAAAGTGAAAAACAAGATTCCACAGCACTTTCTTCATCACATGTAACAACAAAATCTATGAATAGCAAGAACCAAAGAAAAGAACAACAACACATGGCTGATATACAGAATGTGAGTTTGTCGAACAGTTAAACTAAAGTATCTTTTATTTATAGTCTGATACAACTACGGCTCTAACACGTCCATCTATTGAAACATCGTTTGGAAATTCATCATCATCTTCAATTCAAGATACTCCACATGTATCTCTTAACCAACTTTGTTCCGACATGTTCAAAATTCTGATGCGCTACGATACAGTTCTTACTTTGAAACAATTATCGGACGTGAAAAAACATGTATGTGATCAGTATTCATTGGAAGATTTTTCCGAATTTGGTATTACTGATGATAACAGTCCACTAGATATGATTTCATTTCTAAATATGCATCGTAACAAAATTGATCCAAATAAAGAATTGGCTATCTATGAAAATAATTCATCGTCAGGAGATCGACATGAACTTTATTCATTTGTTAATCAACTTACAGTGATTAATAATTGGAGAGAACAACAACCAGGTGATCAATATTCAAGTAGTAGAGAAATTCCTTTGAGTAAAGATCAATTATCAGCTGTCGAAAAAGCGATTCAACACAAATTTAGTGGAGTACTTACCAGAACAAGTACTTCTCAAATCATTAAACGAACGAAAAAACATTTCCAGAATAAACCGACACAGTCATTGATTCGGTAAGTGTTCTACAACTGATATTATTTTGTTTTCAATTTATTTCTATTGATAGTTTCGAAGAATCGTTGTTGGATGAAGTCAATCTCAATCGTCTGAACATGTGTCCATCGTCACTTCTTGTTGATGAATCTCAACTATGTAAAGTTATTCTTCAATGTCCAATTATGAATGATTTACCAACATGGTTGCAATGGTCACATTTTTTTCAATCAAGATATGGTCAATTTAAAATGTTCATTGCTCGAAAACAACAAGAGCTTGACGGTCTTCTCGTACTCGAAACATCCAATCATGAACTTTTACGTCTTCCAATCGATTCATCTTTTGAACAATTTGAAAATGAATTGAACAATGGAAATGTTAGTGCAAGTGTTGGCCATCTATGTTCTCTTATTATTTATGAATACGTTCAAGTTAATCGAATGCCATTGAATATTTATCGACAAGTAATGACTACGTGGTTTATTCGTCTTCGTTCATCTGCTCAGTTACAACGTGATCAAAAAGAACCAATGCAATACATATTAGAATTTCTCATATATTTACCAACTTTGATCGGTCAATCACGAATTGTCCAAGAATTAATATTAGATCCATTGGATGAAGTTTTTAGTAGCAATGAAGATAGTGATGAATTCAATCCACGAGAAAGAATTTGGATGTTAGCTGATCGAAAGCAAAAATCAAAATTAGAAGCATGGGCTTATCTACTAGATATTGATGAGTGGAAAAATGAGAATAAATGGAGAGCTTTGGAAGAAATCCAAGAAGAAATCGACATTCAACAACCAAATCATGAGATACAAAACAAACAAACATGTATTCAAGGTAAAGTTTACTTACGAACTCATGTAGTAAACATTGCCGACTTTTTATTTTGTAGACATTATTGTACCAACAAAAGTACAACTGGATTCACTTTTAACTATTCCATCATCTCCAGTCGTCGTCACTGAACGTCTTATTCCAGTAAATAACAATACAAATATAAATGATTCGAGTTCATGTTCTGCTGCTTATGAACATATTAAGAAAATTCGAG